AAGCCCAGCCCGGCTCCCCTCCCTGGTTTCATAACCAGACGCAGACGGGTCCATCTCTGCCGCTCCCGCTTATTTTATGAGTTAATTTACCAAACAAGGCGCTTCTTCCCACCAAAGTCTCCCCCCAGGACCCTCCACCATGCAGCACAGCTCCATCCACTGGTTTCGGAAAGGTCTCCGGCTGCACGACAACCCAGCGCTGCTGGCAGCGGCCACCGATTGCCGCCGCCTTCATCCCCTCTTCATCCTCGACCCCTCCAGGGGCCGGGCAGGCGCCAACGCCCAGCGGTTCCTCCTCGATGCCCTGCAGGACTTGGATGGGAGCCTGCGGGAAATGGGCTCCAGGTGAGTCCCAGTGCCATCCCTGAGGAATCTGGGGGTTCTCAAGGGGATTTGGGGGGGCCTCGAGGGGCTTTGTGCCCACCCGGCTCCCTGGCAGGCTGTTCGTGGTGCGGGGCTGCCCAGAGGAGGTGTTCCCCCGTCTCTTCCATGCCTGGGGGACGACGCGGTTGACCTTCGAGGTGGACACCGAACCCTCCACTCGCCAGCGTGACGCCGCTGTGGCCAAGCTGGCAGCCCAGCATGGCGTGGAGGTGATCCGGGAGGTGTCCCACACCCTCTACGACACCCAGAGGTGGGTGCCCAGTGACATCCCTCAGGGTACAGGGGATCCAGCCCCCATGCCAAACCTGTTCCTCCCTCTCCCACCCCAGAGTCCTTGCCTTGAACGACAGCAAAGCCCCCCTGACCTACAAGCGCCTGCAGAGCCTCCTGGCAGCCCTCGGCCCCCCGGAGAAGCCGGCCCCAGCGCTCACACAGGAACATCTGCAGGGTGAGCATGGGGTGGACCTGGGTAGAGCACGAAGCTGGGTCAGCGTCTCCCTTACTGTTGACCCTGGAGCGGAATGATGGCCATCACACCCTCGCCATACACATGCCCCAGGCTGCCGTACTCCGTGCCAGGTCAGCCATGACACCGACTACAAGGTCCCCACCTTGGAGGAGCTGGGCCAAGACCCCGCTGAGCTGGGTCCTCACCTCTACCCCGGCGGGGAGACAGTGGCACTCGCACGGCTTGACACATTCATGGAGAGGACGGTCAGTGCTTGGCACCCAGCACCCTAATTTCAGGGCTGCTTCACCTCCCCCTATCCCAAAACATGACCCCAGGGTGTGTGTTCCCATCCAGGCCTGGGTGTGCGGCTTCAAGAAGCCCGAGACAGAGCCCAACTCGCTGAGTCCCAGCACCACCGTCCTCAGCCCCTACATCAAATTTGGCTGCCTGTCGGTCCGCACCTTCTGGTGGCGGCTGGATGAGGTCTACCAGGGGGTGAGGCAGCATTTTTGGTGTGGGGGGAAGAGGGTGAGGCAGAGGAACCCTGCAGAAGGGCTGGGGGGCTGCCCAGCCAAAGGGACTGATCCCGCCTTTGCCAGCAGCGGAAGCACTCCCAGCCCCCCGTCTCCTTGCATGGGCAGCTCCTCTGGAGGGAGTTTTTCTACACTGCTGGTGCCAGCATCCCCAATTTCGACCGGATGGTTGGCAACCCTGTCTGCCTGCAGGTTGACTGGGATGACAACCCCCAGCACCTCCGCACCTGGAGGGAGGTATTTCCCTTGGTGATAAGGCCCAAGTCCTCTGACCCCCTCCCCAAAATGTCCCCTCTGCCCCACCTAACCCCAACACCCCACACCAGGGCCAGACTGGCTACCCCTTCATTGACGCCATCATGACCCAGCTGCGTACCGAGGGCTGGATCCACCACCTCGCTCGGCACGCCGTTGCCTGCTTCCTCACCCGCGGGGACCTCTGGATCTCCTGGGAAGAGGGGCTGAAGGTCAGATCTCCCCTAGCACCCACCAGCACCCACCAGCCTCTTGGGGACCCCATTTCCACACCATTGCGGTGTCCTGCAGGTTTTCGAGGAACTCCTGCTGGACGCCGACTGGTCCCTCAATGCCGGCAACTGGCTGTGGCTGTCAGGCAGTGCCTTCTTCCACCAATATTTCCGCATCTACTCACCCATCGCCTTCGGCAAGAAGACGGACCGGGACGGGGCATACATTCGGTAGGCGCAAAACCCAAAGCCACGCAAGATGGCAGGGGGTGATGTCCTTGGTGGCTGTGACCCCTTGCCGTAGAAAATACCTCCCCATCCTGAAGGATTTCCCTGCCGAGTACATCTACGAGCCCTGGAAGGCACCACGGGCCGTGCAGGAGCGGGCGGGCTGCCTGGTAGGCACTCACTATCCCCAGCCCATCGTGGAGCATGGGGCAGCGAGCAAGAGGAACCTGGAGCGCATGAAGGCAGCCCGTGCTCAGAAAGGTAAGAAACCCCCCCAAATGCACCGAGTTCCCCCTGCTGCCCTGCCACCACCCTGGCTGCCTTCCTCTCCTCCAGGTACCAAGCGGGAGCCACCAGCTGGCCCCTCCACAGCTGAATCGCAAAGGAAAAAGCCCAAGAATGAGCAGCGCTGAGCCCCACAGGGAATCCCACACAACCAACAGCCAGGGTCAGGCACCACTCGTCCCACTCTGACCCATTTTGCTCAGCCACCTCCCTTAATTAATCCCTTCCCCTCTCCTGCCCTGGGACTCATAACTTCACTGCTGCCACCACCCCAAAAATCAAATCCCCACCTGAGAACATGCCCTAAAGGCAGGCAAGTCCCCTGCATGTGACCTGGAAACCCTCCAAGCTGCCAGACCATGCCCCAGAGGCAAAAACCACCCCACAAACCCGCATCCCCCAGGGGCAGCACCCCACCGGATCAACCTCCACCCCCTCCTTAGCTATAATATAATCATTATTAAAGGGAACGGAGGAATTAAGCAAGTGCAGCTTGGTTCATGATGTGCCTTGACCCACCATGTTGAAATCTGCAGGCAGCATTAAGTTTGTTTCAGCTACGGTACCAGCGGGTCGGTCATCACGGTGAAGCCAATGGCTTACTCGATCGCCTGCGGAGAGTATTAAGACATAGGGTGAGGATAGGGCGAGCACAAGGCAGGGCCAAAGCCATTCCCCAAAAAGGTGTTTAGGTGAGACAACGAGGCTGCTTTTGTCTCTAAATACATCCACTATCCACGCACTTTATTTATGGCGCCAATACAAAGCCAGAGCTTCCTGGAAAAGCTCGGAACACACCCAAATTCCTTCACACAGATGCTTGAAAGCATCGCGGCAGCCAGCGGGGAACCAGCGCTGCTCTTACTACCTCACGGGGACGGAGACACGAACCGAGCAGAGAGGGAGGCAGCCAGGGCCCGAGGAAGGCAGGGCCCTGAGGGGGAACAGACCTA